TGCTAACAAGTTATTCTTTCTACTTGTCACAGATTAGTTTGCCTACATGCAGTTCTAAGCATTTTTCCAAAGCACATTGTGAGAATAAGACGGGGAGGGGAGCATGTGGCCTTGGGGGCTGAAGTTCTAAGAGTCCTCTGTGCAGGGGTGACTGTCTTTCATATTTCTTATAATGGGTGAAGCTTACAATTGGTCATTTTAGTTTCTCGATGCTCCTGTATGATGCTTAGTCAGGTGGAGGGCTGTCAGCAAGTTACTCTCTGATCAGTGGTCCTCCTGCTGTTCCTCAAGGCAAGCTCAGAAACTTCAGTTACTTTGTTTCCCACATTAACCTTGTGAGTACAGGCACAGTTTCACCTTAATCCAGGGAAACTTTAACTCCTTCATCCTCAGTTTCACTATGAAGGTTAAAAGACAAAAGTAGTAATAATAACTATAACTAAAATAATTAGTTAAGGGATACAGAAAATAAGACATAAAATGTGATATCAAAAAAAATAAACCATGGGCTGGAAAGTAAAATGCAGAGATTTAGAATTCATTCAAACATAACTTGCTATCAACTTAAAATAGACATATATATATGTTTATTGCAGCATTATGATATGGAAACAACTTGTGTCCATCAGTTGATGAATGGATAAAGAAATGTGGTGTGTATATAGAGTGAAATATTACTCACCCATAAAAATAATGAAATCTTGTCATTTTTTACAATGGATGGACTTTCAGGGTATTATGCTAAATGAAATGAGTCAGGTATAGAAAGGCAAATAACATATAATGTCACTTCTATGTAGAATCTAAGAAACAAAATGAAACCTGTAGATACATAAAATATATTGGTTGTTGCCAGAGAAGAGATGGGTGAGAAGGTCAGCAAAATGGGTGAAAGAAATCAAGAGGTACAAATTCCAACTATAAGATAAATGTCATGGGAATGTAATGCACAGCAACAGGAATATAGTCAATAATACACTTAGCACAATACACTCTAGGTCCACCCATGTTGCTGCAAATTGCAAGATTTCATTATTTTTTATGGCGGCGTAATATTCCATTGTATATAAATATATACCACATCTTCTTTATCCATTCATTCATCAATGGACACTTAGACTGTTTCCATATCTAAGTGAAATAAGTCAGAGAAAGGCAACTATTGTATAATTTCACTTCTGTGTAGAATCTAAAAAACAAAGCAAATGAACAAACAAAACAAAACAGAAGCAGACTCATAGATACAGAGGACAAACTCGTGGTTGCCAGAGGGGAGGAGGATAGGAGAATGGGCACAATAGCTTAAGGAGATTAAGAGGTACAAATTTCCAATTATAAAAAAATAAGTCACAGGGACATAATGTACAGCATAGGGAATATAGTCAGTAATATTGTAATAATTTTGTAGGGTGACAGATGATAACTAGACTTATTGTGATGATCATTTCTCAATGTTTACAAATGTTAAATCACTATGTTGTACACCTGAAACTAATATGGTATGTCAACTATTCTTCAATAGAAAATAAAAAAATAAAAAGGCATAAAAAGAAAACCAGAAAAATGCAATCGAGACATCTACCAGCTTCTTTAGCTTTACTAATTTCATGCTGCAAAGCCTCAAGGGGATTTATCAGCAGAAAAAATAATCCACTTCTCTAATGGGCATAGTAAAACTAGTGGTGATGTCACTGCCCTAATTCTCTTTATACATTTAACCAGGCCACATTTCATTTGCCCGTCTAGATGAGGCTCACAGAATCTTCTGATGGTGGGTTCAATCAGACAGGTATACAGAACTGCAGCAGCAAAAGGGTAATTATTGTTCTTTATCTGTTCTGCTGCTGACCTTTCTATTACTTCTTGACACAATTTCCTCAACTTTTTCCCTGTTATCCATTTTTAGTGAGAAAAGTAGATGCCCTTTTTCCTCTGAAACTTTTTATAAAACACTTATTTCCTCAATCATATTAGGAAATGGGTTTTCAATTTCCAATTATTGGTGGAAGAAAGATAATATATATTCTTCCTATATTATTGGATGATATTTTTCCCGAGTGTAAAATTTCACAGAGGAAGAGTGGTTGATTTTAATTTGGGAAGGATTAATTCTGGTAGTCAAAACACTGAAACAGATGTCTCAACTATATTTGTGTTTTCCTTTTGAAACTAACAATCAGCTGCCTAAAACCCAAACTGCAGACTGTAGAGGGAGGAGTGTATCCCCAAGATATCTGAGGAAGAGTTACAGGCTGTGGGTCCCACTCCTGGGCTGAGATAGTGTTGTCCTCAGCTTAGTTGTGAGATGTTAGGCAAATGGCCCAGGAACCTTAATTTTTTAATCCATAAAAGCAGAAAATAAGATGAATAAGTACAGCATAGGATCTTGAGGAAGATAAAATATGGCAAAGCAACAGAACAATTGCTAGGATGCTCTCAGCTTCAAATAAAAATTCGATATTATTCTGCCACCACTATTAATAATTCCCCAAGTTAAATATGCACTAAGCTGTTTACATTAAACTCAGGCAACTGGAAAGAGAAGAATTAGAACGAATAGGGAGGCAAGTTGCCTTGTGTGGTATACATAGCATTTCCTTGTCTATCTGGTGTACCAGGTGGGCTCTTTGGTGTGGCTTGATCATAGTCATCTCCATCTACCAAAGCATTTCAGATATTTACCCAGTGCCACACAAACACTCTTCTGTTCTCCCTCTATTCACTCCACAAACGGCTTTGCAGTATACACACGTGCTAGTCATTGTAACGGTCCTTGCTTCACTTTGACCACACATATAGACTCGGTTAGCAGACCAGTTTCACAGTTTATTGGACTGTTTTTAAATTTTGCACAATGCACTCCAGCTTCTCTCTGCCAGTGAGAGTGAGATTTCAGAGAAAGATTTTTTGCATTGTGTCCCATACTTGGATATTGATACTAAGGCATCAAATCTATTTGCAGATTTGTCTACTGCTTCGGCACTTCAAAATTCAGGACTGTTAATAAATTAACACTGTAATTTAAAAAATATTACAAGAGTATAAACTGTATTTGAAACTTAGAAATTCCTCCTGAAATATCTCTGCATCATAACCACTTTTAAACTCCTCCCAGAAAAAGGAGCCAATATTTTCTTCTTCTTGATAAGGGCTTTTGAATTTTAACATCTAATACGTCAGAAAATGAAAAGTGACAAAAGTTTAATCTCTGTAAGATAAAATGTAGACAAAGCTGTTACTGCTTGACTTCAGAAAGGCCAGATGTATTTTGTGTATATTGCTCTTTTTTATTACTTTGTAGCTGCTTTAAAACTCTAAGTAACATTTATATAATATTTGTCCATGAATAGACTGACTGTGACCTCCCTAAGAGTAATCAAGTTTAATTTTTTCTTGATTTGTCTTCAGTGTCTAACACAGACACAGCCAGTGAGAAGCAAGATGGTGGAGGAAACAGTGGATTGGAGCCAGAGACTTCTCATTGTTCAATTTCCCTCTCCGCATCTCAGTTTCCATGAGAAATTAATTGCTATGTACATTAAAGCAGATGATGTTTGGGAAAACAAAACAACTAAAGCCTTGTCTGGTAAATGGCAGTGACCGTGTAAACCTAAGTTCCTCTCTCTGACACTTAGAACTTTAGGAGATCAATTTCAACTTGGAGAAGCATGTACTCCAAGCATGACTGAAACAAGATGAGATTCTCCATAGAGCTCTGAACCAGGGTTAAAATAAAATATATATATAATATTCATTTATATATTTATTTAAATTCCACATATATTCATATAAAATAAGTGTGTATTAAAATACATAAACATACACACAAGCATATACAAGTTGTTTGGAACTAAGTAAAAATTCTTAAATGTATGAATAGACACTGAAACTGAAAAACTGAAGTAATGTATCTCATAAGACGATAATAGTAACGGTCACTTCTCACATAGGTCATGCACAATAATTAGCGTAGATATTAACTCTTCACCACACCTAAGGTCAAAAATTTGTTTTATTTAGAGTAAACACAAAAATGGTGGGCAGAGATAAAGTTGGGTTTATGGTTGCAGTTTGGCTGAGATTCTAAGCTCTTCACCTCATGCCTCATAGGTGTCTAAGGGGTCAGTCGTGCATGAGAAACCTGACCTGCTTCTGGGGGTGCATTGCTCACTCTACAGGGCAGCCTGATCCTATGGGCACAGGGAGTTCAAATATTTGGTACAGATTTTCCTCAAATTATGTTTCCGTTACTTTCTTACAGAGCATACACCTCCAAGATTGTTTTTGTGTGTGTGAGGAAGATTAGCCCTGAGACAACATCCGATGCCAATCCTCCTCCTTTTGCTGAGGAAGATCGGTCCTGGGCCAACATCCATGCCCATCTTCCTCTATTTTATATGGGGTGCTGCCACAGCATGGCTTGACAAGTGGTGCACTGGTGGCGCCCGGGATCTGAACCCTTGAACCCTGGGCTGCTGAGGTGGAGCACGCGCACTCAACCGCTATGCCACCAGGCTGGCCCCAAGATTGTTTTTTAATATTCTAGTTGGATACTCAATACAGAGAGATCAAATTAATTTAGGATTGTATAACAAAAATTCTAGAAATAGAATTTTGATTTCTCTTATTTAAATGATTTACTTTTTATGGTTGCTTCAGTCAGCAACTCTGCAAATTTCCAACATATGTTGATGGATGACACTATTCGTTGTTAGGAAATGTCGTGACCTGAGTTGTGGCAACTTCAATATAAGTTACCAATTCTTTTGACTCACAGTTGTGAATTCTTAGCTTTCCGGTAAATTAATGAATCATAAGAATTAATAATCTCCAAATTTATAAGCCATGGGTCTTCCTCTGGTTAGTTAGCATAATAAGTGGGTATACATAAACATTAACACAAACTCTCAGTAAACATTTATTATATCATTTCAGACAGTTGTATTCCATGAGTGATTCATTTACTCCAAATCTCTCATTGGTCATCTAGGTGAAATCTCATGGACAACACAACCTGGGTGGCCAATGACACTGGACAGTCGGATTTCATCCTTTTGGGAATCTTCAGTCAATCCAAGCACCCAACTCTTCTTTGGGTGGTCATTTTTGTGCTTCTCCTGATAGCCTTGTCTGGAAACACCATCCTGATCTTTCTGATATACTCTGATGCCCACCTCCACACCCCCATGTACTTTTTCATCAGTCAGTTGTCTCTCATGGACATGATGTACATTTCTGTCACTGTGCCCAAGATGCTTATGGATCAGGTCATAGGTGTGAATAATATCTCAGCCCCCAAATGTGGGATGCAAATGTTCCTCTATGTGACGCTAGGAGGTTCAGAATGTTTCCTTCTAGCTGCCATGGCCTATGATCGCTATGTAGCCATTTGCTACCCTTTCCATTATCCTATCCTCATGAACCATAAGGTATGCATCCTTCTGGCATTTGGCTGCTGGTTTCTGGGATCTTTGGATGGCTTCATGCTCACATCTGTCACCATGACTTTAGCCTTCTGTAAATCCCAAGAGATCCATCATTTCTTTTGTGAAGTCCCTGCTGTAATGAAGCTCTCCTGCTCAGACACTTCCCTCTATGAGACACTCATGTACTTGTGCTGTGTCCTTATGCTTCTCATTCCTCTGACAGTCATTTCAAGCTCTTATTTTTTCATCCTGCTCACTATCTACAGGATGAACTCAGCGAAGGGCCGAAAGAAGGCCTTAACCACTTGTACCTCCCATATGACTGTGGTCATCCTCTTTTATGGGGCTGGCATTTACAACTATATGCTTCCCAGCTCCTACCATACCCCTGAGAAGGACATGATGGCATCTGTCTTTTATACCATTCTCACTCCTGTGCTAAACCCTTTAATCTATAGTCTCAGAAATAAAGATGTCACAGCGGCTGTAAAGAAAATGTTGAATGTGGGAACTGTTCTTCAAGAAGCTATAAAATAGAAAATTTTGATAATAATGTGCTTTTCTTTCTCTTTACACATAAGAATTTTAGAAACATATGCCAATGATATTTCTTAAACCCTCATACCATTGTGTCTCGTATCATAGTCATACCTCTTTTAGGAATTGCTTCAATGTATTATAAATATCTTTGATTCTATACTCCTTCTCCATTCAAAATGTATTATGCTATTGTATTGTTTTGATGTAACACTTACTGAAGTTGATAACTGCACTCTTGTTTTATGGAATATTCACATTTTGTAAAATACATAATAAAATATTTAGAGGATAAAAGTCATGAGGAGATAGAAAATTGTCTCAAATGAGAGAGAGACTGACAGAGAAGTGGTAAAGAATATTGAGTACAAAGTAAAGAATAAATAAGTCTGGGTGAAGGATAAATGGGTGACCTTTGTGCCGTTTTTATTCATGCTACTTTTCTGCAAATTTGAAATTAACTTCAAACACAAAGTTAAAATATCAGACTCTCACACCTACACACTTTTTAAAAGAAGTTTTCATTCTGTGCTTGGTGGCAATATAAGCAACATAATATCCTAGGAAACATGCTCATTTTAATATTGCTTTTCATTAATGAAACAATCCAGTCATTTGTCCACATTTATTGGAGGCTATCTTGTTTTATATGGTCCAACTCTAACGGCATCTAGGGGGAATTAATAGTTTTACCAGGTGTTAGGTTTAGGATCCAGAGTTCATAAAGTGTGGTGGGAAAATATTAATCCAGTTTGGAAGGAAAGCTTAGGGAAGGTTCCATGCAGAAAGTGACTTCTGAGCTGAGTTTTTAAGTATGTAATTTATTAGACAGCGAAAGAGAAGCAGGATATCAAATATTCAAATTTTCTTTTACTCATTCTATAACAATCTCTTTGTTATATTATAATCCAAACAGTAGATAAGTCAGACTAAAATATGAATACTATATGGCTGCTGTTACTAAGGAATTTGAACTAGTAGTTGTAGTTATATACGCAAAAAGGTGTTATAAAGTACGTGGTGTGTTTTACGCTCAGGTGGAAAAGGTACAGCTCATAAGGACACATTAGTTCTACCCCCAATATGTGAGTGCAGTAAGCAAAGGGGACTGAGAGATGACCCAAGAGCTCAGTGTTGAGCGGATGTTACCTTCAGATGAGTACAGGAGACTTGGGCAGAGGGGACATGCTCAGGGACAAGATGCCACAGAAAAATCATGGCATGAGCAAAGTTTAGATGGTTCACCAAATGGGAGAAATAAATGTTCCAACATCACCACCATTTTTTAACCATTTATGTTCTTTTTTTGGGGTAAAATTGGTATATAACATCATGTAAGTTTCAGGTTTGCAAGATTATAATTTGACAACTCTTTTCCTACTTTATTTTAGAGACTCATTTCTTGCCCAGAGTCTATGACCCAGAGTTTTATGATTGTAGTGAAATAATCATGCTTGCTTCTTAGAAACATTAAATCAGTGGTAATCAATAGGAAAAGCGCTAGCCTTAAGTCAGGGAAACCAGGTGAGTGTGGAAGATAAACAAAATGGTGCTGATCTAAGTGGAATAAACCACACTTTAATACTAGGAGGGACTGTGGGTAGAGATATTTGGGATAAGAGGGGCCCTATTAAACTTGTTTTGTAAAACTAGAGCCATGGTTGCATGTCTAAAATTCTCCAATGAGCTGAATCCAACTCATGATGAATGAGGTGGTTTCAAAAGTACAAACTCAATTTTCCTTTTGACACAATTATTTTATGACTGTAAAATAAGTATCTTCACTGTTTAAAAAATGATGTTGGAAAACCAATTTTTAACAATTATCCTCTTGTAATATGTGTTTAAAATTTTTGTTTTAAAATTTTTGTTAGCCTAGAATTTTTGTTAGCCTCTTGAAATATGTGTTTAAATATTTTGTTTATCCTCTTGGAATATGTGTTTAAAATTTTTGTTTCAAAATTTTTGTTAGCCTCTGGGAATATGTGTTTAAATATTTTTTTTATACTCTTGGAATATGTGTTTAAAATTTTTCTTAGCCTAAAATTTTTGTTAGCCTCTATTAATAAGAATTTACCAGAACTGTGTTGTTCTGAAAAAAATGTGACAAGTTATATATAGTATCTAATACTTAGAAGTTCTAGACATGAAGGAATATTTGCTGCTCCAATTTCTGCATATAGAGTTTAAAATTAAATGAAAGTTTCTGTCACTCAACTGTACTTTCTCACAATGTCAAATAAGTAGGTATATACATAAATAGTCTAAAGTTTTCAAACTACAGTATGCATTCATGTTTTTGAGCTTGTGATACCAACAGAATTTGGTCAAATGAATTTCTGTATTCCACGATAACAAGCCCTCAGGATTTCTACATACTCCAAAGCACATTAAGGACCTAGATTGTAATTCTTCATCCAAATTTAGAAAAAAAAATATACTTGTATTAGATAGAGAATCTTGCATCATTTTTCGTAAATTTTCTGCTTTCTTAAAAGTATTCAAAGGGTAATATTTAAATAAATAGAATGAACAAAATCATTTTCTAGTAATGGCTCAGAAAATGAAGCTAAATAAACAAAACTAGATACATTGAAATGGACATTTAAGATAGTTTGGGTTGTCTTTTTCTTCTCTTTAAGGTTATTATTTTATAAACAAATAGTTTTGCTCCACGTTTGATACGGATTCAAAAAATTTTATCCAGTAATGTTATTGCTAAAAATCCTGAAGTTGTATAATTCAAACTTCTTTTTAAATTAGAAAATCAGATTTTTTCAATTATTTTATTGAGGTCATAATGGTTTATAACATTGTGTGATTTCAGGTGTACATTATTATTTATCAGTTTCTGTCTAGACTAATTCATGCTCACCACCAATACTCTAATTTTTAAACTCAGCAAATTTTCATGAGTGTCTTTCCAGTTAGGTGCATAAATACTGGGTCATATTCCATAGGATGCATATGGCATAAATTTTAAAATAAATTGAATATTAACGAACTTATTGTGACATTCTTGACTTTTGAGAACTATTACTTAACAAAATTAGTATCTTGTGAGCCAGAAGTTTATCGTTGAAATTATACAGAGATAATAAAGACTGAATTTAATTACTTAAAAATGAAAACAAAGTTAAGCAATATTCAAAATATACTGAACAACTGTTGTCAAACTGTGGGCATCAAAGACAAAGAATATTAATCCATGAAAGATTGGAAATAAATGAACTGAGCCTTATTATGTTTGAACTTACTGCCTGGAGAGAGTTTGCAGAGGCAATCCTCTTGGATTATCCTTTGGGATAATCCTTTGTTAATCTCCCTGAGTTAAAGAGATAGAGTTGAGTGTCTGAAGTGGTCAATGTACAAAGTTTTCACAGAAAATGCTTCACAGAAAAGAAGAGAGCTGCATACAGAGATAACTTAAAATACTTACAAAGAGTATCCCTGGAATCTTCAGTTGAATACTTACCAGCCCATGTGTGTGAGGAAATTACCAAATGATTGGGAGAAACCACCCAAAAGATTAGATTAAAAAATCTATGAAATTCACACAAGATTGGAAATAGTTTCTGGTCCCACCAGGCTAAAGGAAATATCACACAATTCATGAGAAAAGAGATAGAGCTTTCTGAGAAACTTTGACCCAGTAGTGAGACAAAATTAGCCCTAGAATAAATGCCACTTTGGTCCTGACTAACAGCACTTAAAAGCTAATACAAAAAATCAAAGTTTCCAGGTTAGCTAAAAATATTTCTAGGAATACGAATTTATCAAATATTCAATTATTTAACATAGAAAATATATGGCCTCTAATAAAAATTATCATACATGCAAAGATTCTGTAATTATACAAAACGTTCTGTAAAATATTTCATCCAACAATAGCAGAACATATAGCATTCCCAAGATCACATGGAACATTCACCAAGGTAGAACACATTCTGGGTCATAAACACACCTTCAAAAACTTAAAAGAATAAATTATAAGATGACTGCTCTCTACCACAATCAAATTAAAATAGAAATCAATAGTAGAAAAGTAGCATAAAAATAACAAAATGTTTGCAAATTAAACAACACACTTATAAATAACACATTGCTCAAAGAAGAAATTGCAAGAGAAATTTTAAAACATATTTTTAACTAAATAAAAATATAGAACTTATAAAATTAATTGGATACAACAAAAGCAGTGGTTAATGGGTAATGTATAGCTTTGAATGATATATTGTAAAACAAAAAAGAGCTAAATTCGATATTCTATGATTCTGCCTATGAAAATTAGGGAAAAAAAGAAAATTAAATTATAAGTAAACACAAGAAAAATATTATAATTATAGTAGAAATCAAGATGTTAGAAACAAAATCAATAGAAATAATCAGCAAAATTTAAAGCAAGTTCTTTTAAAGATCAATAAAATTGATTACTCTCTAACCAGACTAACAAAAGAAAGAAAGAAAGAAGACACAAATTATTTATATCAGAAATTAAAGTCATCATTTGTGGATCCTACAGACATTAAAAAGATAGTAAAGAAATATTACGAAGAATTGTTTGTCCATAAATTTGATAATGTAGATGAAATGGACCAATGCTTTGAATGATACAACCTACAAAAACTCAAGCAAGAAGAAATAGTAAATCTGAATAGGGCTATATCTGTTGAAGAAATTGAATAAATTATCTGGTATCTTCCAAAACAGAAGCACCTTGCACAGATGAGTTCAATAGTCCACCTACCAAACATTTAGGGAAGAAATTATATTAGTTCTCTATAATCTCTTTCTGAATATAGAAGCAAGGAAATAATTCCTAACTTATTATATGAATCCAAGATTACTCTAATACAAAGCCAGAGAAATACTTTACAGAAGAGAAAACCACACACCAATGTCTTTCATGAACACACCTTCAAAAACCATCAGCAAAATAGCCTAATGACTATAGATAACAACACATTCTTGTATACTAGAAATCTTCTAAGAAAGTAGAT